CTGGCAGGGCCGGCAGACACCAGCGTTCTCCATCCAGCAGCAGGCACCGTCTGCACAGACACGCTGTTCCCTTCAGAAAGGGAGAAGTAAAAATCAATGAACAGAATTAATTCTAATTAGTTCAAACCAGGACAGAGTTCCATTATGAATGCTGTGCAGAAGAAATCAAGAGGTTTATTGCTTCAGTAAAACATCCAGTGACCAGTCTCCGTAGGGCATCCTTGAGCTCCTGGTTCCTCAGGCTGTAGATGAGGGGATTCACTGCTGGAGGCACCACTGAGTACAGAACTGACATGACGAGGTCCAGCAATGGGAAAGAGATGGAGGGGGGCTTCAGGTAGGCAAAAAAAGAGGTGTTGAGAAAGAGGGAGACCACGGCCAGGTGAGGGAGGCACGTGGAGAAGGCTTTGTGTCGTCCCTGCTGCAAGGGGATCCTCAGCACAGAACGGAAGATCTGAACATAGGACACCACCATGAAAATAAAACACCCAAATGCTAAACAGACACCAAACACAATCAGCCCAACTTCCCTGAGGTAGGAATATGAGCAGGAGAGCTTGAGGATTTGAGGGATTTCACAGAAGAACTGTCCCATTCGTGTGTTCACTGCATTGCCCTGGCAGAGGGGCAGTGAAAATGTATTGACTGTGTGCAGGAGAGAATAGAAAAACCCACTGGCCCAGGCAGCTGCTGCCATGTGGACACAAGCTCTGGTGCCCAGGAGGGTCCCGTAGTGCAGGGGTTGGCAGATGGCCACGTAGCGGTCATAGGCCATGACAGTGAGGAGAAAATACTCTGCTGACATGAAGAAGACAAAAAAGTATAGCTGGGCCACACATCCTTTGTAGGAGATGGCCCTGTGGTCCCAAAAGGAGTTGCTCATGGACTTGGGGACAGTGGTGGAGATGGAGCCTAGGTCCAGAACAGAGAGGTTGAGGATGAAGAAGTACATGGGGGTGTGGAGGTGGTGGTGCCAGGCGATGGTGGTGATGATGAGGCCATTGCCCAGGAGGGCAGCCAGGTAGATGCCCAGGAAGAGCCAGAAGTGCAAGAGCTGCAGCTGCCGCGTGTCTGCAAATGCCAGGAGGAGGAACTGGCTGATGGAGCTGCCGTTGGACATTTATTCAGTTTCTTGTCATGAAAGTTCTGTCCTAAGAAGGAAAGCACAGGTTAAAAGTAATGCACCCTCCTCTGAGTAAAACAAATCCATTTTTAGATAGAAATCTCTGCCAGTGAAAATGCATTTCCTTTCTCTGTTTTCGTGCTGGCTGCGTGTGCTGTGAGGATTCATCTTTGCTCTGTGCAGGGGATACGTCGAGCTGGATCGTGACAGCTCTGACATCCACAAGGTATGTCAGGTGTAATTCACCTTCAACAGCAAATTTCAGTTTCTTCACTCCTGAATCTTGATAGTTTGGGGTGCAGAGGAGAGAATTCGTGTGTTCTAAAAGCAATTCAGTTTGTGCCTATTTTCCCCCATCACTTTTCATGACTGTTTTTTTAGGGGTAGAAATCCCCATTTTGATGTCTGAATATTCCAGGACAGGCAAAAGGGCTCCACTCTCTGTGACTCAGAGCAGATCCAGGAGAGCTGCAGTGTCCATCAGTCTCACTCCCATCTGCCCTGCTCTTCCCCTTGTGCTGCCTTGCAGAGGACTTCACAAAAAAATCACCCTTTAAAATAAGACAAAGAGCTGTACTCTGAGGAGAGCAGGGGATCTCTGTTTCAAAGGGCGGATCTCTGAAATCTATCCCAGCCCAGAGGTGCAGCGGTGATGGACAGAGTCCCCTTTCTGGGGGCAGCTCCAAGCGCAGCAGAATAGACCAAGCCAACACTTGGAATTCCTGCAGATGGGATGTTGTCCAGAGAGAGTCAGCTCCCTGCCCAGA